TCTCCTAAAGCAAAGTATTTATTCAGACCGCTTCCTAGGACACTTCACAGTAAGAACTATAGTATTAGCAACACACAGGGCCAACATTAACAGTAGGCAGAGAGAACAGAGGCCTTTCTGTACCAAGTACTAGCCACTGAAACATTTTTAGTTTTGGTGTCAGTGCTTAAGGGCTTTTGGGACAACTGTGCATTATCTTTCTACCTTCTGAATTTTACCTACATGAGACAACATATCAGCACATTAACAACAATGGCCCAATGTTGAAACCTACCTCTGAGGTCCAGTAAATTCTACTTCTAATAAGTATATTTGCATAATCTTAGATGGAAGAAACCTCTTTTCTACTGAACTCACATGATTATTTGGAGCTTTTCATCATTATTTCTTTCTTCCTTGTAATACCGTTACTTCTACTGATAAATAATTATTTTTTAGATAAATATTCCAGTTGGATTCATTTGTACCTGCTTCATAACAGCAAGGACAGGCTCTTGAAGTCCTGGAAGATTGGTGCTGAGATTAAGAAGATTAGAGGGGAGCAGTATAAGGGCACTGAAAAATTAAACGCTTGCTGTGAATGGTGAGAGGGCAGTAAAATGGGATCAAACTTTGACAACAAGAAAATGCAAAAAACAAAAATGTAAATATCTAAATTGTTGATAACAAAAATTCTGTTTGATGTGATAACCTTGGAATATTTCTTTCTACAGATAAAAGCAAAAGAATGTTCATGCTTTACTTGATAAAGAGAACTTCCTCTATTTTACTGAACAATGCATAGGTTTTAACAGTCATATTTAAAAATTAGAACATCCTTATTTAACATTAACCATTATCTATATAAAAGTAAAAGAATTTCATGCCAGTACTTCTTATTAGTTCTAGAAATGCAGAGGTCCAGCTCTTATCAGTAGAATCATAGTTTCTAGAACTTTATAACAAAAGCCATGTCAGTTATAAGGAAAATTATCCCAATAAGTCACTAAAGAAAAGGCCAAAAAAAAAAAAAAGGGCAGAAAGGCAAAGTCAAGCAGTAATTTTCCGATGCCAATATTTCCCATCTGTCATAATTTTTTTTCTGTGATTTTTTTTTCAGATCTCAGAGATTTTTTTTGTCTTTTAAAACACACACACACACACACACACACACACACACACACACACACACACACAGAAAGAGGGAAAGTGAGAAAGAATGAGAGAAATTCTATACCTGTGCTCATAGAGTCAAAATAATAGAGTCTCAATAATGAACAAAATGGACATGGATTGTGACCTTATAGTGCTTACAATTTGAAAGGGAAGTCAATATTAGTAAGGTAACTTCACAGAGAGATATAAAATTGTAATGAATTAGTTATATAGTAGTATAAGACTGTATAATAAGAGAAGACAATCTGATCAGGCACAGAGAAAGGCTTCCTTTGATAAGTTACTATTGTGTTGAGACGAGAGGCAAAAAGGAGTTGAGAGTGGTGATCCCCTGAGGGAAAAAAACAACCAGGGCACCTAGAGTTGGGTGGGAGGTCACAGGATTGGGAAGAAGAAACGAAAGGCCTCTGTGCCTGGAATGCAGGAAGGGAAGGAAGTATGCTGTGCAATGAGTTGGGGGTATTTAAAAAAAAGTGCTAAACCATGCAGGGCATGGAAAGCCATAATAATGAACTCTGCCTATATTTTAAGAGTGATGGCCTTTTGGGAGGTATGACATCTCAATTTTGTCATTCTCAGTCTACAGAGAATAGACTGAGAATAGGTGCATCATTGCATGGAAGTAGTAATTTAGGAGGCTTCTGGAGTAGCCCAGGGGACAGATTATGTTATTTAGAACCAGAGTACTGGTAGTCTCAAATGGAGAAAAATGAATAAATTCAATAAGTTTATTTATTTTTTTGGTAGGTAAATATGACCGGATTAGGTGATAGAAATCATGGAATGAAGGAGAGAGGTGACAAGATGATTCCTATTTTTTCTGGTATATCGTGAAGTCATATATTGAGCCCTAGAATATTAAAAGAGTATATTTGGAGAGATTACTGTGAGTTTAGTTTGCAACATGTTAAATTTAAGGCACTTAGGTAATTAGATATACCAAATTGGACGTGATTGATAATGAAGGCATACATTCGTGAGAGTCATTATAAAGTTTGCTTTCTCTGAAAATTTTTTCTTCTTCTTTTTTATAAAACGAGCAATGCATAATATGTTTCATCTCTGTTCTATCTTTCGGATTATTAAACTTAATTCAGGCAAATACTTTAGCATTCGTAGTTAGCATGTTACGTTGTCCTATAGATAGCCCTAATTTTATAACAGTATTTTTGTGGCTCAAGTTTTCGGTATGATTTTAAGAATATAAATATATACCTAAAAATATTAAGCATTAAAAATCTGTCTGGTGGAGAGCATATACAAATTTTTAAAACTATCTCATAGAAATAGTCTGAGTCAAATAAGTTAATGGTTATTTAAAAAGTACTAAAAAGTATCAAATAATATGTCATTATTATGATGTTATTAAGCCACTGTCAACTAATCTTATCAGAGTTGATCATTTATAAACATTAAATAAACATAGGGGAATTTGTTTCAGAAAAATAAAAGTATTTTAAATATTATATATTCAATGTCATTAAGTATTTAGAAGGCATATTAGTTTTGCACAGTGATTATCATTGCTGTTATGTCTACGGTAAATTATCTTTAGATACATATGTACCTATTTACACAAGCATGCATATCTCCTGTTCAGACATTATTGTTTATTGTTTAAATTCATCAGAGTTTTAGTTAAATAAGAAAGAACAGCTGAAATAGAAAAAAGTGCTATTTTACTGGCCAAGACTAATTAAAAATGCCATAGTGAGAAAAAAGAACTGTCATAACAACCACCACCACCTGAACAGTCCTGCACTAATAACTAAAGGATATTCCATTGCCTTATTATTATTATACTACTTCTCCATTCATTACTTCCTCTAAGAAAGTTCCCAGTATTCCATTTATTTTTTAAAAGAGATTTAATAGATGTGCTATGAATTTTCAACCAGTTCTTTGAAATTTGAGGAGTCTAATTAGGAATGTATTTACTTTCTCTTTTTTCAGGGTGATTAATTCCATGCAAGAATTTCAGCTTAATGTTACTCCAAAGAAAAAATAGAAAGAGAAAAGGAGATTCTACTTCTACAGACTAATGGACTGGTAATTAAAAAAAAAAAAAAACTGAATTAAGCATTAACTCAGAAGAGACATTTTCAATGTATAACTTATTTGTTACCCTTATATTGCCAGGTTAATTAAGTAAATCCTGTGACCTTAATTATAGTCATTAGTAAATAAAAACATATTTGAATTCACTAAGTCTTCTGATTTATACTAGGGAATCTGTATTAGTAAATATATTTCCTCTGCTAATAGCTTTCATAAAGTCAGATGTTTTATTTAGAAAAAGTCAGCTTTACCAATGAAAAACAAAAATTCATTAATTATCTAATTAATTGTTTGGGCATATAAAATGTCTGGAGTCTCTTGTGTGGTTGCCTTTGGGAAACAAACCCTCCAAAAAACAAACAAACAAACATACTCTATACATTTCCGTATCTTCAAACTGTGTGAAATCACTTCATAGACAAGGTCCTCCATTTCTTTAAGAAAATTAAAAGATGGAAAATCTAAAATGTCTTCCTCAATTTGCTCTAATTAATAATAATAATAATAATAATAATGATAATAATAAAAAACTCAAGGACCAACACAACAAAAGCAATTCTTAAGATAAATGAATAAATCATGTACCAAAGGAGTACAAGGCAATAAAACATAGATAGAATAAATCTACACTAAAATAATGACTTCTATCTTTTGCATACTCAGACTCATCATGTTATACTAGTTATAATAAATTAATCTCAATATTGCCTAATATATCTTTTTTTGTTGTTTATATCTTAAAAGCAGTCTTTCACATTATTTTGAGTATACTAGCAACAACACACTGGCTGCCTGTTTTAAATTTTTATGTAATCCATAGCACCATGATCAGAAACAAATTCTTAGCAATAGTCTCTATGTTCCCTTAAGGATACAGACATTTCTGTTGCTGGTTTACTGAAGCTGTAATATGTTGCAAAATAAACTCAGGTTATTAAGTATCTCCTACCCGTTCTCTTCAAGGAGATTTCAATTGCTAAGCACCTAATTACCAACAGACAATCTAGGTAGATTAAACCTTGCTCTTTATAAAAATGCACCCATAATCATTTTATGCATGGTGACATTTTCATACAAATATATCACTAAGAGAAGCAAGAGATGCCTATATCAAGCATTTGGTATACAATACATTATGTTATGCATTTAGCAGACTCTTCATGTTCCCTGATTTCAATTCATTTTCTTACATGTGATTTCCCTTTTCTTTAGTTTTTTTTTTTTTTTTAACATACTTATTTACAGACTGCCATAAGTATCTTTCAATGACAGAAAGAACATGTCATTCAATAATCGAACCAATCGGGAAAAGTGCTATTTCTAGCACTACTCTCTTACCCTCCATATAGCAAAGGAGATCAAAGTCACAAAATGAGCACTTGATTTTTAAGAATCAAAAGACCAGGAATTTTATTCCATCTTCCTTAATCATTAGCCAAGCAACTTTGATAAAATACTTGGTCTTTCTGAATCTGTTTACTCATGTGCAAACATCATTACTCTCTCCCATGTCTACTCCTCAAGGCTGCCAACATAGATTCTGATAGATTCTGATAATGCATTGTGAAACAATCCTGGAAAAAAAAAAGAATTCCATAAAGATATGTTATCGACATAAAAAGTGGTAGATTTTCTAACTCTAGAAAGATATGAGAAAAAAGAAAATAATAATCAGTGATGAATAATGCTAGTTTTAATTAGTATATTAATTTGCAAGATTTTAATAAGCCTCCCCTAAATGGTTTGAAACCCACTAGCAATTATCAAATTGAACACGATCAACTTACTTCTGGAGCCTGAATAGTTCCTCACGGCTTTGAAGGAGTTGGCGCTCTGCCTGGCTGCTGCAGAAGACGGACAGGGCGAAAGCATCTCCGAAACTGATGCTGAGGATGATGTCAGAAAGAAGGGTCCTCAGCTACTACATCTCTTCCCAACACCTGGCTGAATGGTTACAGGGACTCTTCAAAGGAGATAAGCACACAAAAAAAAGTATATCAAAATATGCTTATGAAGTGTCTTGGAAAAATATAGTTGCTGTTTACTGTGTAATCAGTCTCAAACTATGTCAGAAATGTTATTAAATAGAATTTAAAGAGATTTGCATATTAAGACTTTCCAGTGGAATGTACAATATGCTCTGATTCCAATAGATTGATTTTCATTATTGGAAAGAGTCTTCTTATTTTAATTTAAGATAGTTTAAATAATCAAAAGATACCTAGGTCAATTTTCTTTATAGTACTTCCATTAATTTAACTTGTAGGCTAATGTTAAAGAATCGCTTTAGTCAACAAATGTTTAATCATCATCTGCTATGTACCAGGTACATGACACTGGGGATATGGCAGTGAATGAATTTCTTAAGTCCTCTCCTCATGGAGATAATAGCCTTATATCCTGTTGCTTGTATTTTCTTCAATAGAACAAAAATATGTTTATTTCAACACATATTTCTATGGAGGAAATATATGCAGACATGCCACTTGTAGTTTAACTTCGAGTCAGAAGATTGCTGATATTTTCCTATTTCTGAGGGTTCCATGTCAGTCTAGATAATAACAAACCTAGCTCTTTGAGACAATATTTAATCTTCTTTCCCCTAAGATCTTTATAATAGTACCAATTGATATTCAACCACTATCATTTATAATGTAGAAATAGGCTGAATTTTTTAAAATGCTCTTGAAATGAGTAAAAGCATTGTAATTGTACTTAAGCTATGACTTATTTTATCTGCAGAAGCAAAAGTGAGAAATAATACAATTCCAAAGGGTAACAATAAAAAACAGATATAAGATGATACAAAGACAACTTGGGTTTAGTTTATTGCTTCCACTGTTTCTACCTGTAAAGATATGTGAATGATTTTACAAAGCCATAATTTAAGAAGATGATTATATTTTTCTGAAATACCCAATACTTAGGACTTAATTTTTTTTAAAAAAGTTAAGCTGTTGCCTAAATTTATAGTGACATTACTGAGAAATGCTAAAAATCAATGCACACATTAATGATAATTTTGAATAAAGTAATTTATAGTTTATTTCAGATTATCTTTCAATATGTCAACCAATGCTATATTTTTATTTATATTTACTATAAAAGAAAGATGTTTATTATAGAAGTATAGACTAACTCATATCTCACACATACATGCACACAAATATAAATCAAACATATGCTAACCGCACTGATACAGTTATTTCTTGTCTTTTCATTTATTTCCTTCTATCAATATTTTAAACTAATTTTTACATTTTACACACATGATAAACATACAAGAAATCCAAAAGTAAATTTCCCTTCAAAGCAAGACATATGTCTCTCAGAAAGAACAAATTTCACATTATAGAACATCCTCTTAGAAATATTTCATGCATATATGAGTGTGTGTGCAGTTTTATAGATATATAAGAATGCTGTACTCTGTATCATCCTATGCTTTTCATTTATTACATCATGGAGAACATTCCATTTCTTTCTTCTATCATCAACCCCCATATATTTTATCAGTGAATATCTATCGTATGCACACAACATAATCTGTTCATAATGAATTCCAATAGAAAATTAGCAAGTTTCCAGGATTTTAAATTATAAAATTATATAATCAATGTTCACATACATGTATCTATGTACACATGAGTAAATATATATATAATAAATTCCTAGAAGTACAACATTCAGACCAAGAAGCCTCATTGTTTTTGAAACTGATTATGTTCCTTTCTCTGTAATAAAGAGGTAGTATAAAGCAAGAGTAAACTTGAATTTATAATTATGTTTTATATGATGGCATTATGATAACAAAACATAAATACCTCCAATAATCATTCTAAACAAATAACAAAAACAAACAAACAAACAAACAAACAAAAATACAAGATTTACAATCAGCAGGATTTCCATGTCTTCATTTCGGCATGAAGAGCATAGTAACTGCTGCAATGCTTTCTAAATTATAATTTCTCAGAGAAAGTTCTTTTTATGAATGGTTACATTATTTATTAATGATAATAACATTTTCCTTTTTATAATAATATCTTATTAAACACTTACTATGTGCCAGCTATAAAAACATGTATTATCTAAATCAATTCCCTCAAGAATCAAATGAGGCAAATACATATTCCTGTATACTGCTGTAAGAGGTGGGGATGGAAACGTCAACTAACTTTGATCAAGGCCGTAGCCTCGTATCTGGCAAAGCTGGGGCTCTCACACAGGGCTACCTCAATCCAAATTGATGCTCTTATATCTCATGATGGTTTCAGAAAACCATTATAGGATTCAATAGTAAAGAAACTTAAATAAGGTACTATATTTTTTAGTCCATATGTTTTGGTCAGTGCAATGTCAAAAACAAATTTTAAATCAGGATTCTGACAGCGTAATTTTCCAGTGTGATCTTCAAAGATTTGCTTTTCTTCCTGATAGTATGTTGAAACAAAACATCTTATAAGAATTTCTGATCAGTTCCTTAGTTCCAAGTTGTTGCTATGTTGGCCGTCTTCCACAGTCTTAGGAAATTTGGCAATAGTTACTATTTATGTACATGTTTCCCAAGAAACATAGTTCTCCCTTTAATGATTATCTTGGATGCCGGTATTAAACTCTGAAAAAACTCAAGAAACATAGGTAAAACTCTGGAAGTTATTAGGGAATATCGTTTCAAAAAATGAAAATCATGACCCCTTCCAGCTTCTAACAGTGCTTTCTTCCTTTCTGTAATATCTTCACTAAGTGTCCATCACCTATCGGAACATATACAGATGATCCTCTATTTACAACAGGTTTTGTCCTGATAAAGACATAAGTTGAGTTGAAAATATACGAAAGCCAAAAATATATTTAATAGAACTAACCTGCCATACATCATAGTTTAACCCAGCCTACCTTAAACATGCTCAAAACACTTATGTTAACCTAAGGTGGGCAAAATCATCTAACACAATGAATATACCGTAGAGTGTCAGTTGTTTACCCTCATGATGGAGAGGCTGACTGGGAGCTGCGGCTCACTGTCACTGTCCAGCATTACAGGAGAGTATTGTACCATGTATCACTAACCTGGGAAAAGATCAATATTCAAAATACACTTCCTACGAATGTTATTGCTTTCACACCATCGTCAAGTCGAGGACCACTTGTACTTTGATTTGAATCAGCAAAAGCAGGCCTTTAAAGTCTTATAACCAGGGTGGAATCATAGCTATGATCCTATCACTCAATTGTCTCTTTTTAAATGAAAATATATATATATTACAAAACATAGCAATTTTTTCAAGGCATAATACATCAGAAAGTACCAATCATGGCACTTTATTCATTGTAGGCAGGTGATAATTTTATTTCCCTCAGGAAGTTCTTCCTAGGACTGCCCTAAGTTTTAACTCATTGATACTAAGGAAACCCTTGAAATATTTGAAGATAACAGTAAGATAACCTTAAGTATTCCTTTTAATTTAAAGATCCACAGAGTTTGAATAATTATGAATCTATCTAACGGTATGACTACTGATCTTTCTCCTTCTTCTCTCTAATAATCCAAAGCAAATAACATGAGGGAGGTGTTCTACATTAGTCTTTAATTATATTTACCTTGTGTTAAAAATGATTAAAAATTAAACATTTAGTAATCTTGATGTTTGCTCTGCATGATGCAAAAATCTAGCTGTTTTGAAATATATGAATAAGTGAATCACCTGGTTTCATTGTAATTCACTCAATCACTTATTTAATAACCATAGAATAATATAATGCTTGGCATAAAATGGTCATGACCTTTAGTGAACTACTTCAAAAAGGAGGGTATAATATTAGAAATGTTGTTTTGTTAAGAAGAATAACTTCAAAAAATCAAACCGGAATTATAGAATAATAAATGAGTTGTTTAAATGCCTAAGTATTCAGAAGATTCATATGATTGAATATGGAAATGCATTTATGTTATTAGACAAAAGTGCAGTATCATATACTCAGCTACAAGATCATTTGATACATAAATTAATGCACCACTAGAGGATTTATTGCATAATGTAAATGCCACATTGTAAATGAGAGCAACTAATCATTCCTTTCCTCTAATAGCAAGAGTTCAGCAGTTAAATAAAACATAAATCTTGGTAACCTAAAAATTTTTATTACTGCATTTGTAAGTTCTCGTTAATGACTCAAGAAAATAACTTTAAGTTATTTTAAGTAATGCTGTATTTCAATGAGATACAATCTAAGGTGAAGGGGTATTTTGGAAGGTGCAAAGGGTATGTACAGGTGGTGCTGACTTTGTAATGTTTTAAGGAAAAAATTCATTCACTAACTTTCACAAATGATAATTTCAAATAATAGAATTTTCATCATAAAAAAGATACTAAATTGGTAACTGATTTAGTGGAGAAACAAAACGCATTATCACAATTTGACTTTAACTATTAAAAAAATCCTATTTACTAAATTATAATGCAAATTTCTTATTCTAAAGTAAATTTTAAAATGTAAAATAAGGTCTTACTTAAGATTATAGAGTTAACGAGGTATTTTTTCTTGCATATCTAAGATTTTCTTAAATGACAGGATCAAAATAATATAAACAGTAACAAAAAATAATTCACTAGATAAGTCTACCTTGCTAAAAGTTTTCTTGACATTCCTTTGAGTTTCAAAGTTCCAGAAGCAATTTTTTTCCTTCTAAAAGACAATTTTGATCATTACGTCTTTATCCCTCAGTGCAGTGAGAGAACTGTCCCTTTACTTCTCCCTGTCTTAGCTCCCGATCTGCTCTGACAGTGTAAATGTCAGTCCTGCTCTGTTCCTGACTGAATGCAGGGGAAAATAAAATGCAACTTTCTTTTACTCTTAGTGGTTTGGCAAAAGTCGGCAGACAGATATCATGTTCACACTAATATGCATGTCAGTATGTCACCTTGGTAATGATTTTTTCCAATTAAAATAAGAATATCA